AGATGAGATTACATTAACAATGTTTTTTTTTAAATTTAAACCTGAAAATGAACTAGCTACAGACTGCCCTAGGTCTCTCAAATCTTGGAACAAGCAGAGAAGTCACAAGGATGGGAGAAGACCCTGAATACTAGATTTTCAAGAAATCTCAGCTCCTATTTTGACATCTATAAGAGTGGCCAGATTTTCAAGAGATCAGTAGCCAGCAGTTACCAATGTGACCCTTCAGCACCTAACGTGCATGGAACATGCTGAGCTCTTTTGAAAACGTGGCTATGGATTTTGGTGCCTAAATGGGAGCTGTGCTCTTGAAAATATGGCCCCAGCTATGGGTGTTGAGCCTTTTGAAAGTCTGATCCACTCACCTGGCCCAATGCCTGGTGAAGTCAATGGAAAGTCTCCCACTGACTTCAGCGGGTGTTGGATCAGACCCTACTTCATAACAATGAGACACCTTGTCCTCCACTCTCTGCAAGTGGCTTCCCATGGAATATCCAATCAAGTTCAAAATCTATGTCCTCATCTTCAAGGCACACCCAAGATATCTAAAAGACAACCTGAAGCACCAGGGCCAAGGTCAAGAACTCCTCAGGCACAATGGAACTTTCTACCATACGGTAAAGCTCATTTGTACAGCAGACAGAGCTTTCTAGGGGTCGGGTCAGAGTGTGGAACCAACTCCCACAGCAAGAAAAGACCATCACAATCCTCAGCACCTTCTGCCTTCTTCAACCTGCCTTCTCTAACAAATATAGAACAGCCTGGACATTTATAAAAACAAAGTCCTACCACAACAAAACATTACAACATGCACATAATGTTCTCCTGCAGAGTATGAAAACAAAAACAATCCTCATAACAGATGTTAGTCATGTCACTTAATGCACTATTGGAAGAGGCTCACATACAATGGAAATGAGGGTTATATAAGAATCTATATAGAATAGAATAATGATAGAGAAAGAAGGATGGTCCAGTGGTTAGGGAACTCTCTTGGGACACCTGGGTTCAAGTTCCTGTTCTACCACAGACACTGTGTGACACGGGGCAAGTCACTCACTGTCTCTGTGCTTCAGTTCCCCATGAGTAAAATGGGTATGATAGCACTGCCATACCTCACGGGGGTGTGGTGATAATAAATACATAATAAGACTGTGAGGCTCTCAGATACTATGCATTATGCAGGCCACATAAACACTTCAAAACCCATTGTGAATCACTGAATTCTGAGAATCAGTAAAGAAGAGAACACGTAATAAAAAGAGCAAAAATAAAAGCAGTATAAAAATGGACCTGGTCACTTATTCTGCAAACTGTAGATGAATAAATATTTCTAATTATTCTCCACTATTTTTCAGGATTACCCTACAGCGCATTTGCTAGTAACAACTCGTATGCGTCTCACTACAGCACTAGCTATGGAATCTTTGCTGAGTAGCTGGGAAAGAGCTGACATTTTTATGCATATTATGAAGTATGTGGGATTAATGAGCTTACAACATCTAGGTCAGAAGCAATTTAAAGAGTGGAAATATCTTGTTTTTTTTAAAGCTCACATTTCAAACAAAGATTTCAGATCACCTATACAGTCTTTGACACGGTATGCCTCCTGTACTCATCTCACTGACAGAAACCTGTTCTCCCCTTCACCACTCACACATGAATTTAATATATACCAAATAAAATCAAACGTTAAAAAATGCATTATTCAGTAAAGCATGAACCAGGTTATCTTGCAGGCTGTTGTATTCCCTTTGCTGCAATCTGATCCTCTAAAAGCAATAAGTACGTAGTATTACTGAACTACATTCAATAACCAGCAGAGAATTTGGTCCATTGTATCAAATTCTAAGTGCAATCACTATTAGTCCAGTCCAGCAGAGGTAAGAGGATATACACAAGCACTCTTGGAGCCTGTGTCATCATGAGTGTTTTTCTACCAATGTTTCTCTAATTGTGATCCGCTGGATCTAATATGGATACACTTCAGTGTGCCTCAAACTTACGTCTATCAGCGCCATGAGAGATATCAAAAGTCCAGTACATCAACACTTAAACAAAAAAAAAGCCACCACCTTTGAGCACTACACAATTTGAAAGAAACTGAGCGTATTCAGTCCATTGTAAAGGGTAGGAGTCCATTTGCAAATTTCAAATCCAGGTTTAGGTTTTGGACACTTACCGAAGTTCAGAAGTAATCAGATTTAGCGTGGCACTTTGGGGTAGTCTCTAGTTTATTCAACATTAATAATCAGTTATGATGTAACCTACCCTCAAATAGGCCCATTTCCAGCCTAGATTACAGACATCAACAACAATCACCAATCTCACCCATCCACTATATTAGATTAGAACAAGTGTCTTGGTTTTGGAGCGACATCACCAAGATAGCAAATACTAACAGAATTAACATAAGACCAAGGGCTCAATTTAATTGGCATAGCCCTGTAAAGAACAAACTATGCATAACAGGTGCTAATGTGATTCCAGAGACATGTTAGCTGCATGTTTAACACACTTATGATCCAATATTCCCTCCCCAATCCATACAGAACATGGATAATGAAACAGTAGGAGGTTTTAGTTCTACATGTCAGTAATTTATATACTCCAGTCAAACAAAGGCAAGCTGTGCCATGATTCATTAATATCAGGATATTTCTGGAATAAACAGCACACAGGAGCCTCCTCAGATGGGAAGTCAATAGAGAGTTTAAATGCCTTCCTGAAATTTTGTACATTTTTTCAGCCAAGATAGAGATCAGAGGTCAGAAAAAAAAATGTTCCCGATAGTCCAATTTGGTATATTTAAAAGAATTGTATGTCTTCCTCTGTAGCATCCAGCTAGAGAACATATTGGACTATGTGGACCATTAATCTATTCTGATATAGCAATTGTTAAACTCACATGCTGTAATGGTAAGAATCAGCACAAACTCTTCAAGTGGATTTGTAATATTATTTATTATGATGGCTTCCAGGGGCCCATCACAGAACCCAGTTAGTCTCTGCCCCAAAGAATTAATAATCTAAGTATAGATTAAGATTGTCATGAAATAAATCATATACTAGGGAGACTAGGAGTACTCTAAAAACATATTATACTCTGTTTGCGAGTGATATGAGATATCTATATCTAGCTCTCCCCCACATGTAAAACCAGGTGCCTTTACTACCAACTGTACAAGTTTAAAAGACAACAATATGAATGTCTAAAAATGTCCCAAGAAACTTTTCTTCCCCTGAAAATGTCACAACTGGAGAGTAAAGTCATTTCTTGGGCCCTTCCAGAGTTACAAATGAGTACTGGGTCTGGTTATAAAGACGGGACCAACCCATTTTTCAGTGGCAGAAAGCTCATTTGTTTTTCTGCAGGGCTGTGATATATCAGAGTTTACAGCTGTGAAACGTGCCTAGAAAAGCTGTATCGGGCATATGGCTGCATGCCACTCATCCTGTGGCCCTGTGGGGGATAAAAAGGGGGGACTTTCCACACTTGAGAGGAGGAAAGTTTTCGAAAGAAAGAAAGATGCAGTTTTGTTTGAAACTGTTTTGTTTGAAACTGGCAGAGAGGCGCAGCTGGTGGTGAAGGCTGCAGCAGAATCCCACGGAGAGGTGTAGCAATCGGCCGTTGACTCGAGCAGCGGCGCATGTAAGGTGGCCTCATGTCTTCCCCTCTTCCACTCAGGCTGGGAGGTAAACTCTGCAAATGAGCTTCTGAACTCTGGGGCCGCGCTGGCCAAGGACAGAAACTGTGGGAGTGGTGACTTTTGGGTTGCTGGACTCCAGCACCGCCCCGGGGCTGCACTGACCAAGGACAGAAACCATGGTGGGGGGGGGGTGACTGTTGGGTTGCTGGACTTAAGACCCTGAGGGGAAAAGGACACTGCCCAACTTACTTGGGGGTGGGTCTTTTGCCCATGGTTTGTGCTGTGAATCCTGTTTGTGGTGTTTCTCCACATAATGCCACATTGTTTCCCTCCTTTATTAAAAGGCTTTTGCTACACTCGGACTCTGTGCTTGTGAGAGGGGAAGTATTGCCTCTTAGAGGCGTCCCAGGGGGTGGTATGTAATTGTCCCAGGTCACTGGGTGGGGGCTCGAGCTGGTTTTGCATTGTGTTATTGAAAAGAAACCCCTAGACACTGAACCCGGCCCTTGTTGCTGCCAACTCTGAGGGGCACAAGGGTTTAAAATGTCAGAGTAAGTGCCAGACATGATGGATTAGTGGGCAGAGAGGTGATAAGACAGTCAAAAGTGTATGACAAATTATCACATGGCTCTGCAATTTATCATACAATCCCATAATTTATTACATGGTTTTGTCTCTCTCTCTCTCACCCACTCACACACACACTTTTTCCATCTCTATAAATGTAATATTAACATTCTACCTGGCCTAATTCAGTAAATTCAATGAAAATTACTAATGCAGATTAGAAATAGTCTCCATTGCATTTAACTGTTTTCCCATCATATTGCCTGATAGAAAAGAATGAGGAGACTTCACCATTTTGTGATGCTTGGATCAGCTTTGTCAAGTGAATGGCCTGTCATATTTTAGTTGGTCAATTTTGGCATGTCACCGCCCCAGAGACAACTTATGCTATGCCTTTTGCTTCACTGAGAAGCGTGATGCAGACCATGAAGTGCTGCAAGACAACCTGAAAAATGCTGATAAAATATCTGTAACTGATAAGGTATATACAGCAGTATTGCTTAACTATATTCCCATTTGTGATTGAAACAGTCATATAGGATATAACAAAACAGTGGCAAGTTTTATATTAGTACTAAATAAGTACATTCTTTCTGGTCATATGTACAGACATACTCAGTTTCACTTAGATAACCAATATCTGTGTGTATGATGTTCTGCTCAGCCCTGTCAGCAAAGTGGTTTCAAGTCTGCAGTTTCAGTGAATTTATCATATCATGTTAATCTCAGTCATTGTGCTGGTCCTGTGCATAAATGGCTTGGAAACCTGGATTGGATTAGAAAGACAGAACAAGCCATGTAGAAGCCAACAAGGGCCAGATTCCACAGAATGTAATGTGAGTCACCCCAGGGCTAATTTGGCCCAAGATGCACAGACACACTCATATGCTCAGGAAAGTAGAGGCAGAATACTAGTTTATTTGGCAGGAGCACAGCTATGGAAACCCTAACCCACAAGTTAATACAGTTTTGCCAGGACAAAAATTCACAGCTTGTAGCTTGAGTTGTGTGTTACCTTCTCCAGCTATTCCTTTGCTCTTTAAAGAAGCACATAAGTGAGCTTTAAAAAGCGTGTACTGCCCACAACATGCAAGTTCTCAAAACCGCTGTATAACAGGGTTATTCTTTGATTGCTTAACATAACCTTAATGACATCAGTGCTGTCACATTCATTTCATGCCTCCCATCTAGGTGAACTCTAAGATAAAGAGAGAAAACGGGATTAATAACATGAATTAGTTTCCTTCTAAAATATTTTGGAAAGACCCCATATTTCACGCCAGCTACTAGCTTGACTCACAATAGTCTCTGCTGATCCAATTTCCTTCATGGGTAAAGACCACTGAGAATAAATCAGTTTTAAGTGCTGTTTTCAGAAAGCAGAGCACTGGGCACTTAAGGATCTATCAGAGTTGAGACAGTCTGGAAACTTTTAGGGTACAAGTTATGAAGCTTTTACAATGAATGCTTGGAGAAGAAATGGTAACTGAAGCTCACGTCCCCTCTGCTAACGCTCCAATGCTGGAGGCAGTCATAATGGTGCTGTATATGCTCCTAGATCACAGGTTTGGAAGGCCACTAACACTACTGGTAGTGTTATGGGGGCCAAAAATTATATATTGCAGGGCGGCCATGGCTGCTCCTACTCACCATGCTCCAGTAAGCTCTTAGAGGCTGGTGCTATTGTGGGAAGGAATGCTTTTGTAGAATTTCCTCAGGTGTCATTATGTCTGCTCCTTTCCTCTTCAGACAGCTACTGCCAGACAGGTAGGGCACCCTCCCTCAACCCCATTGTAGCCCAAACCATAGCAGCTTTAATTTGGTCCTTAGCCATCTTCCCACCCTGCATTAGAGGCAAACCTTCGCCTTTTGCAATAGTTTACAACCTCTCAGAGAATTAAGGCCCTGAAGAACTTAAGCATGGCTTAACTTTAAGCATGTGAGTAAGCCTATTGAAGTGACTGCTCTTATGCTTCATGTTAAATACATGCTTAAGTGCTTCACTGGATCGGAACTAAGAGAGCAACACCATTATTAGATTCCTAGGACACAAGGGAATTGTAAATATCTGCTGGTTTATCTTCTTTTGATGTGAAATATTGTTCCACAACCTCCCTCCACCTTTGTTTTATTTTAGGCTTTTAAAGTTATTTTTTTCTTTAAAGAAACCTCTTCCATGGCAAGTCATTCAAGCCAACATTAGTTCAAATAAGAATTGGTCAGAGACATTTTGATAGAACCATTTTCCATTAGAATATGCAGTTCCATCAAAAGTGAAACACTTCACAAAATCGGGTTGATTTACCAGAATTTCATTTTGGAAGAAAACCAGAAGAAAAAAGTTCCAACCATGTCAAAACCTAACATTTTGACATTTTCAGAATGAACGGTTTCCATTTTTCATTTGAAATGATCTTTTGTTTCAAAGTTTTTTTATTTTGTATTATCTATTAATACATATTATAATAATAATAATATATATTATAGTACAAAATAAAGAAGTCAACATAAAAATGTTTCAAACTACCCAAAACATTTTTTAAAAAAAATTTCCTTCCAAGAAGTTTGAAACGTTCAGTTTTTGTTCATTTGGAATGAAGTCAAAACTCAAAATCTTTAACCCCTTCACAAAATAGAACTTCCATCCTCTCCATAGCACTAGTTCAAATAGTTTTGTCTCCCCCCAACTTTAATTTCTTCAAGCTGCACATTCACATGGCCAAACACAACACTAACCCTTCAGAAAAAGAGAACCCTTATAAGATGTCAATCTTAGCATAATGTCAATTTCATACCTACTAAACAATTCTTAAAGTTTCTTTTTAACATACATTAATTGTGCCCTCCATTTTCCTTACACATAATCAAAGGGTGTCATGTCTCCTAAAGTTAAACGGTCATTCAAAGCTTTAAGGTCATTTACATTTTCTTCAAACATCTTTAAAATTCTCATGATGCTCCGTGTCACAGCTATCAAACTTTTTCCGAAGAGTGGATGAGAGATTGTCTCAGACTCTTTCCCTTTTCTTTTATTATTTCACGAACCACCTCAATTTCCTTTCACAATCAAATAGCATCCCTCTGGCAACATTAGCAATTGTGTACATAAGCAAGAAATGTGAAGGAAGTATTTACTGTATTTTCCATAAGAACATAAGAATGGCCACACTGGGTCAGACTAAAGGTCCATCTAGTCCAGTTTTCTGTTTTCCATCAGCGGCCAATGCCAGGTGCTTCAGAGGGAACGAACACAACAGGAAATTATCAAGTGATCCACCCCTGGTGCCCATTCCCAGTTTCCCTTTTCTTTCCATTTCTTTATAATGCAGTTTAGCAGTTGGGAATGAAGAGGAGAGCCAATAACCTGTGACCAGTCTGCTCTCCACAGATTATCAGCAAGTGCTCCATGGACCACACTTTGGGAACTGCTGCTCTAGGTTATGCTACAAGTTATAGATGGCCCCGACTCAAGATCCCGAATCCAACCATCACCATGGTTTGGGGAAACTTTGGGGTCTGAACTCAACAGCTCAGATGCACATCTACTTTAAGAGTAAGCATTGAACTAAATGTCTATTCTTTGGGTCCAATCCTGAAGTTGTTTTCTCCAACTTCAATAAAAGTTCTTTCTATGGTCATTAACCTGAGCTGACACCACCATACAATACAAATCATTATTAACACGTCAACGTCAGAGCCTTTATCTTTGCACTTCCTCCATCTTTCCATAAAACAAGCAAATTGAGACTAAGTAGAATGCCCTTAACCTTTTTTTTTTAAAAATGCAAGATTTTCAATAGAAACTAGTGATTTGGTATTCCTGAGATGCTTAAAAAGGGGTCTGATTTTCAAAGAGTTGGTGCTCATCATTTTCTGAAAAAATCAGTCCTCTTTAAGGTGTCTCCAGTTGGAACCCAAACTGAGGCACCCAAAATAACTAAAAGAAAAGGAGGACTTGTGGCACCTTAGAGACTAACCAATTTATTTGAGCATAAGCTTTCGTGAGCTACAGCTCACTTCATCGGATGCATACTGTGGAAACTGCAGAAGACATTATATACACAGAGACCATGAAACAATACCTCCTCCCACCCCACTCTCCTGCTGGTAATAGCTTATCTAAAGTGATCACTCTCCTTACAATGTGTATGATAATCAAGTTGGGCCATTTCCAGCACAAATCCAGGTTTTCTCACCCACCCCCCACCCCTTCCAAAAACCACACACACAAACTCACTCTCCTGCTGGTAATAGCTTATCCAAAGTGACCACTCTCCTTACAATGTGTATGAAAATCAAGGTGGGCCATTTCCAGCACAAATCCAGGTTCTCTCACCCCTCTCCCCCCCCCAAAACACACACACACAAACTCACTCTCCTGCTGGTAATAGAAAACCTGGATTTGTGCTGGAAATGGCCCACCTTGATTTTCATACACATTGTAAGGAGAGTGGTCACTTTGGATGGGCTATTACCAGCAGGAGAGTGAGTTTGGGGGGGGGGGGGTGAGAAAACCTGGATTTGTGCTGGAAATGGCCCAACTTGATTATCATACACATTGTAAGGAGAGTGATCACTTTAGATAAGCTATTACCAGCAGGAGAGTGGGGCGGGAGGAGGTATTGTTTCATGGTCTCTGTGTATATAATGTTTTCTGCAGTTTCCACAGTATGCATCCAATGAAGTGAGCTGTAGCTCACGAAAGCTTATGCTCAAATAAATTGGTTAGTCTCTAAGGTGCCACAAGTACTCCTTTTCTTTTTGCGAATACAGACTAACACGGCTGTTACTCTGAAACCAAAATAACTAGCTGCTCTTGAAAAGCATGGCTTCAATAACATTTTTTAAAATAGTAAGAGATATGCTTTTATAAAATAAACAAAAGAATGCTGCATTCTGAATTTCATAGGCATCATGTCTAGATCTCAGTCCTGTTCTCATTCTGAAAAGAGAAGTAGGGGTAGAAAAATCTGAGACTTATCCTTTCTTTGTGTTGGTAATGCTCACAACCCACTACTCTGACGTGAAATAATCTCAGAGCTCTTAAGTGTATGGTCAGCCTTAAACAGGCTATGGTTTCCCCTCTCCATATGTATGTCTTTCCTTTAAATAAAAAATTCTCAAGGCTTGTGAACTAAACAACTGTTTTCTCTTTTCACATAAATCTGGCTCTCTCAAAATGTTTTCCTGAGCCTCCGTGGCACTAGCCTGGAAATCTCTGCATAGACAACACTGAAGAGGGTACATGTCTCAAAAGGAAAGATACGAGTTACCACAATTACTGAATTACACATTTCCAGATCAGTTTCACTTGCAGCAACAGAATCACAAAAGGAGGCCTATCGAAACAGACAACAAAAGATGTCTCAAAACACACCCTATCTTCCAAACTCTAGCAATAATTCAGCGTATTCATCTTGCTGGTAATTTATTCTATTATTTTTTTAAGAATCAATACAGTAATTCACAGAAGTGCAATATGGAAAATAAATCAATGAACCCATAAAGAATATTCCAGTAACATAACATTACATGGCTGAGATTGTGAACCCCATTTAAACAATCTTAATACTTAATACTCATTGAAATGAAAGGGAATTTGGTGCCTAAATCCCCTAAGTAGCTTTGAAAGTCTCAGCCTATAAGATCCATAAGGACCCTTGCAGGAACAATAGGAACTCAATAGGGCAAAGCCAACAAAAAAGCATGACCAAGCCGCATCCGCTTAACAGTTACTGAAGGAAATAATGAAAAACAGAAAAATTTTAAAAACCCAAATCACAGCATAACCCTAATTCAGTAAGGTACTTAAGCATGTGCTCAATTTTAAACACCTGAGCAGTTCCATGAGTGACCTTTCACTAGTCTATAATGTATTTGAGAAGTATATAACTGCTTCAGAGGTAACAAGACAAAAGACACTTTAGTAAAAAGTCACCCGAACTACTCAGGTCCTACAAGTTAAGCATTTAAGTACTTGGCTGGATCAAGGTCTTAAAATCTCCACTAGAGACTGAGTAAGAGAAACAAAGAAAGAAAGCCAAACTCAGACTGGAAATAGAGCATACATTTTTTCCAGTGAGGGTAATTAATCATTGCAATTTTTAAACTGAGATTGGATGCTTTTCCAGAAGATCTGCTCTAGTTCTAACGAGTTATTTCTGAGAAGTTCTCCAGCCTGTGTTATGCAGGAGGTCAGACTAGATGACCACACTGTTTCCTTCTGGCCTTAGGATCTATGAATCCAGTGGGAGTGCATCAGCCTTTTCTATTTTATCTGATGAGATGTTCAAAAGCGTTAACCCAAATTTAAGATATTTGAGGTCCATTTTCTTTTCAGTAAACAACTTTTTTTAAAAAAACACTTATAACAAACCTTCTATTTTGTTTACTTTCATTAGAAGAGGTCTCATCATCTGACTGACAGAACATTCTGCTCCTGCTTTCTCAAAGGCTGCCCACCCCAGCACTGTCACAGAATGAAAACGTTATGGCAATCCTGGAGACTTCACTTCTCCTCCAATTTCCTGTCACTTCTTCCAGCTACTGACATTTGCAGGAGAGGTCAAGGGCATAAGTAGAGGCACTCATCTGGTAATTTAAACAGCGTTACATCAATTTACAGCAGCAGTGAATCGGACATTCTCCCCCAGCCCCCCGACTCTCCATGCCACTAATATGTTAAAGTTTTTAACCTGGATCGATTTATTAATTTCAATTTAAATAATGACTAAAAAGATGATTATCCAAAGCTTTAGGTGCCCTATCACATCATTAACGATACAATGTAAATTTGCTGCACCAATAAAATCATCAGATGCTGAGCCAGCCAGTTGTCTAGTAAAACTCCTTTCCACCCTCTTTGCTGTTTAGGAAGCATACCCTTAGCCCTCTCCAAAAACCCTATTGCAGCGTGTCCACACCAAATCGGGAGTACAGTGAACCAAAACAGAGAGCAAGTCCCAGAGTCTTGGAGCATCGCAGAGAAAGCCCTGCTGGCCACCTCCTCTCTTTTATAATGAGGAGGATTCAACTCACGCATCCCTGCTGACTGCAGCTTTAGCAGTGCGGCACGGGGTGAGAGGTGATCCCTCATGTAGACCAGTTAAGAACTGACAGTTACTTAAGAACAGATATTTGTGTTGAATATTTACCAACAAAGGATTGTTTTTTCTTAACAGGCTGTTTCTTTTATTGCCAACTTAAGAGACTAGCGAGCATACCCCCGTGCTTGTGATGAAGTAACAACTCCCCTTTGAAGCAGTTACGTCCTCCTCTCTGAGACTTTCTAGACTAGTGGAAAGGTCACCTGCCAAAATAATAAAGCAACAAGGCTGGCTAATCAGTAATATCCTGGCCTTCAGCTTTCTGAATTGCTTGGAAGTGGGATGAGGATTCTTGAGACCAGAGTGCAAAGGACACAGACACCTTGAGGAAACAGCCAGGTTGTTTAACCAACAGAGATTGATGTTTAATCAATACTAGTTGCTCTTTAATAAGGCTCAGTGGCATCTTACAGAAAGGAATGTAGATTTTTAGGTCTTCAAGTAAAAGAGTGTATTGTCTGAGACGGCGGCTCTTGTTAATTTGGTCTCAGCCAAAATGCTTTTTATGTATTTGCCCACAGCGACTGTATAAATGCTTTTCTGAATACATCATTTTTTCTATCCACTACTTGGTTTTCCTGCATGTATTCAAAAGCAGACATCAGAAGAGTTTATCCGCAAACACTTTTTGGACCTGTATGTTTTAGTGTGTTCATTCAAATAATAAAAACACACAGTAGAGCACTGAATATTTACACAGTAAATCTCTTGCACCAAGAGGGACATTTTCAAAAATGACTTCAGAGTCTAGTGTCAAGCTGTCTGGAGTGACTCATGACCATGAGTGCCAACCTCAGGGCAGACTGTCACAAAGCAGGGCACAAACTGGTTGTGAGTTCTATGCTTAGATTTCTCCAACCAAAGTATCAAGTGTGAACTTCTCAAGCCCTACAATAGCCTAACCATGGAGTCACATACAATCCCCTTGGGTACTCAGTCTACTTTGCCACCCAGGCAAACTTGCCTTTGTGATAGATGATCCTTTACCCCCCAAAAAATCACAATAATATTCAGGTTTCAGATTAGCAGCCGTGTTAGTCTGTATTCGCAAAAAGAAAAGGAGGATTTGTGGCACCTTAGAGACTAACAAATTTATTTGAGCATAAGCTTTCGTGAGCTACAGCTCACTTCATCGGATGCATTCAGTGGAAAATACAGTGGGGAGATTTATATACATAGAGAACATGGAACAATGGGTGTTACCATACACACTGTATTTTCCGCTGAATGCATCCGATGAAGTGAGTTGGAGCTCACGAAAGCTTATGCTCAAATAAATTTGTTAGTCAATAATATTCAGGTCACTCTCTCTCCCAAAGGACAAGTCACTTATCCCAGGTTAATTGTACCTTAGGTCTCTCACCAAAGATAACCCTCATAGTCAATCCTATATTGAAGTAACTAAAGGTTTATTAACTAGTAAATAACTCATTTCCTTTTCCAAAGTTAACATATACGCACAAATGAGTTACAGTCTTAGGTTTCAAAAAGTAATAAAAGCTGCTGTAATTTCCTTTAGGGCTAACCCAAGCTATGCATCTTGGGTGTCCCTTGCTTATGCTTAGAAATATTGCCCTCTCCAAATTCCAAGCAGCACAGTAATGCAGTTCCTTCTGGTCAGGCATTTTTATTCCCTTCCCCCAGCATTCAAACTGTGATGGGACGAGGGTTTGTGCCCATCCCCATCCCCTCTTCACAGATGTTGCGGAAACAATCAACAAAGACTTTTGTCCACTGATATTCGTCTGCAGTCGATAGGCCTTCTTTTGTTGGGCAAGAGATGATGCCTCTTGTGGCAAACTAACATTTCACATTTGGTGATGCTTCTTTCCTGACTGTGCGGGTTTCCAGTTACAAAGCAAACACTTCAATATTACCTCATAACATGTGATACAGATATTATCAGTAAGGCTGCGAGTCTATCACAGAGATCATGGGAGTCACGGATTCCGTGACTTTCCAGGACCTCCAGGACTTCTGCAATAGCCACTGCGGCTGGCCCGGGGGCCACCTGAGCAGCTTGGGAAGCCCCTGGGCCAACTGCACCAGTCTCTGGCCACCACGCCCCTCCCCCGCAAGCAGCAGCAGGAGTTTGGGTGCGGGAGGGGGCTCAGGGATAGGGCAGGGGGTTGGGGCACGGAAGGGGGTGAGAGCTCATGGCGGTGCTTACCTCGGAGGGCTCCTCAGAAGTGGTGATATGTTCCTCAGCTCCTAGATGGAGGCATGGCCAGGTGGCCATTGCAGAGCCGGCACTTAGGGTGGGGCAGCACGTGGAGCCTCCCTGGCTGTACCTCCACCTAGGAGCCGAGGGACATGTCTCTGCTTCCAGGGAGCCACACAGAACCAGATAGGGAGCCTGCCAGCCCTGCCAACTCCTCCCCATCAGCAGCAGAGGGCCCACGCTGCCAGCCTGTGCGCTGCTGGGCCAGCCTGTGCGCTGCTGGGCCGCCCCGTGCCCTAGCGCACCCAAGATTTAGTCAGGGGTATATAGTAAAAGTCATGGATAGGTCCCAGCCATGAATTTTTGTTTACTGCTCGTGACCTGTCCATAACTTTTACTAAAAATACCTGCGACTAAAACGTAGCCTTCATCATCATAGAATCATAGAACTGGAAGGGACCTTGAGAGGTCATCTAGTCTAGTCTCCTGCACCCATGGCAAGACTAAGTATTATCTAGACCATCCCTGACAGGTGTTTGTCTAACCTGCTCTTAATAATCTCCAATGATAGAGAGTCCACAACCTCCCTGAACAAATTTATTCCAGTGATTAATCATGAAGTCCAAACATTAACACACATCTCTATAAATTTAATACCTATTTTAACAAGACTAACATGCAGGTGAGTCTGACTGGTTTCCAGCTATGCATTTGACTGTGTTCAGTGAGGCTTAGGGACCTTGGAATGAGCTGGCAGCTGGTCTGCCAGCATCACACCTAGCTCTCACTTGAACTCAATGGGACTTAGGAGCCTATTTCCAAAAGTGACTTAGGCACTTAGGAGCTCAAGTCACTTTGACCCAGATCCTCAAAGGTATTTAGGTGCCGGACCTCCATTGAAATCACTTTTGAAAAAATTTACCACAAATCCTGGAACTCTTCAGAACAACAGGCCAAATCATGAAGATCTTACACAAAACTCTCATTGGGGTTTTACCTGAGCAAGGATTAGGGGAGGGGAAAAATGGAATTACACGTCGCCCCACACACACACACACACACGGTATGACTTTAGAGTTTTAAGGTATCAATGCTATAGAAAAATACTTTTTTGACAATAAAAATATAGGATGGTGTGCAGCGGAGAAACTAGCTGGGCAAATGGGTTCAGACAGACAGTCTCTGAGCTCTGCCAATCCACCTAAAGATCACTCGGGTAGAGAGTGAACAGTACACACTGGTTCCGCAACAATGCGGATATTTCTCTCTTCCATGAAGAGCAGGTATTTCTGGTGACTTCTGATCATGTCAGTTGAGATTTTAATCACATGGTCCCAACATAACTGGACTGCAGGATAAAACAACACACATGTACCTGACAGAAATGGATTTTTTCCATTCACAGTAACAATGTAAAGTGCTTAGCCAAATTTTCAGTTGAAAAAACATTTTTCATGTCCCAGATCAATAAGCCACAACTGCACTAGTCATTTGGGGGGCTTTTCTTTGATGATTAGGCACTGGTTTTGTGAGGAACGTTTTCTATTGTTAAGATATCCTGATTCAAGGAATACACTTCTGAAGAGAAAAATGGTCTCTCCCCCATCCTCTCCAGTCAAACAAACATTTCAGGTGCCCTGCTTTTCACTGCAGTACATAGCTACACTGTTGCCAGTGTAGTCAGGGCCTAAGATAGCAATCTCTGGCGTTGTTACTGTGTACACACATGCCACAGTCATCACCAGCTACACACATCATAAAAAGATGAGCCATCAGAACCTGACCTCTACATATTTGGCTACTCTTTGTGCTAAGCAAAAGGAGCAGATCTCAGAGCTCATCTTCTAACGAAAATTGTTATAAATGAGCGAGCCGGTCACATCCCTTGTACAAAACAACACACTGAAGGGAGGCAATATCTCTCTCGTAATCTCAGCTGCAAGTGAACACCTGAAATTATGGCCTGCTGGAGGCGATTGCGTAAGAAGGAGCAGAAAGTTGGCATTGGAAAAAACCCAGCTTCCAGCCAACATCAACATTAGTAACATAGGGTGAGCTTTTCAAAGCTGTCCAAGGCCTGGGCTACATACAGTTTTTGTACCAGGTGTGATTTTTTTTTTAACTGAAATAATTAGACCACTACCACCCGTAACGTGGACACAGTTATACCAGTTGAAAAGTACTTATGTTGGTATAGCTTGTGGGAGGGATAACTCAGTGGTTTGAGCATTGGCCTGCTAAACCCAGGGTTGAGAGTTCAATCCTTGAGGGGGCCATTTAGGGATCTGGGGCAAAAATTGGGGATTGGCCCTGCTTTGAGCAGGGGGTTGGACTCTGTGTTCTCCTGAGGTCCCTTCCAACCCTGATATTCTATGATTCTGTACACCTTCCTGTACAGGAATAAACTATGCATAAACTCGTTTAGACTGGTACAACTGCATCTGCAATAAAAGGCAGTTGTACCAGTTTAACTATGATTACAATGGTGAAATTTGTGTGTGTAGAACAGACCTTACAAATTTTAGATGCCCGGATAGAAATGAATGGGAAGTGGGTGTCCAAATTCCTGTAGGCAGCTTTGGAAATCCCACCCAGAATTGCTATGTTCATTTCTTTAACAATATTTTAAGTGACCTGCAAAACTGAAAGGGATTTTTATAGCATTGCATTTTCTCTCTTGAGTAAAATGGTCATCAGTTCTGAAGCTGGAATCATCTTGTCTCTGTTCCCAACAGCCCAGCTATTCACCAATAATCCAGAATCCAAGCCATTTTAAAATTAAAA